TAAGAGACAGAAGAGAAGACGTGGTTGGAAGAGGAGACAGCCCTGTGAAGATCTAGGCAGAGACTGAAGTTATGCAGCCATAGCCAAGGAACGCCTTGCATCCTCCCAGCTGAGTCTTTGTCTGATTCTCCCTGGCAACAAGCTGGCCTATGGTTTAGACTGCATCTCCAATGAATCGACCAAATCTACCAATCTTCTCCCATTTGCCTTTCACAACAACCTCCACCGTTTTGAGATCATCATTGGGCTTGAACTTCTCCACATTCCTTTACAAATTAAGACAGGTCCTTTATAAGAGATTCAACTTGCTCAGCTTTATACTTCTCCCTCCCACCCGCCCATCCCCAGGCAAAACTTCTGAGCCAAGGCTCTGAAGCTTCTTGCTAAGTGACACGTCTGCTTTAGGAGCTGAGCGTTCTGAGGAGAAGGGAGGTGGTAGCCTCAAGTCTTCTTGGTACACCTCTCTCAGCATAAAACTTCCCCTTTATGGGCCATGGCAAGGATGATCAGGATTCTCAAGATTGTCGGTAATATCTTGCCCAATGTAAAATTCCTGGCCCGTGAATAGGGACTTGGCAGAAGAAGGCAGCCCCCACCTGCAATTACCCAGAACCTTAGCCTCAGCAACGGGTACCTGGACAGGATGAGAAATACTAACATCCTGCCACTCCTGGGTGGACAGTCCTCCACTAACAGCCTTGGGGGGAGAAAGCCCTGTGTTCTTGGTTGTGTTAGTCTGGAGTATATTTCCCATCTTGCTGAGCTATGAGGTTGGAGGGAGTGAGCAGGTTTTGGTGCAAATACCACATGCTCTCTTACAACGTTTTAGTAGATTTTCTTGAGTAAATATTTCTTTATTTGCTGTACAACCTTAGGACCTTTACCAGGGACTTTAATTTAAAAAAAAAATAATTTTTACAAGTTTTTCTGGGAATTGAATCTGTAGAATTCCTCATGCTGTCATGCTACAAGTCTAAAAAAATTAAAAAAAAACTGAATTATATGTTAAAAAGGCTTTTTGGAAGAAATGTGGCTTGGGGTGAATCTTAAAGGGTAACAAGGAATTCAACAGTTAGAAAGAGGAGAGATTATATCATTGTTGGTTAGGGTTAACTGCCCAAATTCTAACCATCTCAACACATTCCACTGGCATATCATTTTTCAGTGCCAGGGTATACAGTTTAGGTTTTATATCTTTTAATTTGTTTTAATGAGGTAGATAATAAACTATTAACTTAAAAGGAAACATCTAGAAATCTATCCAATTCAACTATATAAGAAGACATTAATTTATTAAATTTGGGCAGTTGTTAAATAAATGTAAAGAAATATATTATATTTGGGATAAACCTAATATATAAATCACACACCATGAGATTAATTACAGCTGTGAGAGATAGATTCCAAATTTAGTTCTGAAATTTTCACAGGCCAAACCAAAGAAAAAAATATAATCATTTACAAAAAGCTCATTGTCCATTATGTTAAAACAAATTATTTACTTCTAGAAGTGCTGAAATAAATTAAATATCATAGTTGGGAGAACATTCTCTGTCATTCATGATCTTCCAACAGTATTAAGTGATAGCTCCCAATCCCAGATTAATTCTAACAAAAAATTTAGATGGTATTTTTCTCAGGAACAATGGGCCCCTGGATAGTTAAATACCACCTTGTCCTGGATACGACATATGAGAAAATGTATATTACTTTAATGTTAAAAGTTATCCCAGGGGCCGGCCCTGTGGCACAAGCGGTTAAGTGCGCGTGCTCCGCTGCTGCGGCCTGGGGTTCGCCGGTTCGGATCCGGGGCACGCACTGATGCACCGCTTGGCAAGCCATGCTGTGGCGGCGTCCCATATAAAGTGGAGGAAAATGAGACACGGATGTTAGCCCAGGGCCAGTCTTCCTCAGCAGAAAAAAAAAAAAAAAGAGGAGGATTGGCAGATGTTAGCACAGGGCTGGTCTTCCTCACTAAAAAAAGTTATATCAATAAGAAGCTCATGGAGCCTTCATCTTCCGGAAGATGAATTTTACTACCTGCTGGACGTCTAGATCTAAGAGATAATGGCAATTTATTGCAACTGTGAGATTAAGAAAAGAGAAGAGAAAAAATTAAGAATATAAGCTTTGGCATAATTATCCTTTTGTCAAAGTGGTGAGAATAAAATCTTTATATGCAAGTTCGCCTGTATGTGTGTGTGTGTCTGTGTGTGTGTGTGTGCATGCACTTGCATGCATGCAACATGAGAAAGAGGGAAGACTAAGAATATCACATTTAGTGGACTTGGCCCAATCGACCATTGTCAGTGAATCTTACTCAATAAGATGAGCATTTTCTTTTAATTCCCAAGGAGCAAAATCATGGTTAAGGAGTGTGATAGCTTTTCATTGTACTTGCAGTTTTCTAAAACGATCACCTGTTATTCACTGTGTATTCTGTATATACAGTTTATTAAGTCTATGTTGATCATCCGCTGTTTATTAGTTGAATGGGTAGAGAGACTGAAAGCAAAAACATATAATAGAAGGCTCCTGTAATCATTTATGTACACAAGAGTTGGTCTAGGATGTGGAATGCAAAGAATGAATGTTATATAAATAAATAAGTAATCAATAGTTCTTAGAGTTGAAATACAGAGTATTGCAAATAAAATTTATCAATTACCAAACTTCGCTTGGGTGAAGTAGTAACAGGAGCAAAAATATGGAATTTAAATTGTTGCAGATTATCAGTGCAATTCTGAGGCTATCAGGGGTTGTTCAACCTATTAGATATATTCAGCTTGGTATTTGATATTTGGACTCAAACTTCAGATAGTGTTCAAACCTGAGACAAATATTTATAACAAGCCTATAAGCATTCTTGAGAAAATGACAGTGATTAGTTACTTTAAGAAACAAACAAAAAAACGAATATGTTTTGTTTTGGACTTCATCAATATTTTATTGTGAAGATGACTCATGTTTGGAAGGCCAAAACTACATCTAGGAGTTAATTTTTAACTGAATAAACTTGGTAAAGACATATAATTCCTTGAGTGTCAGTCTTCACATCTAAAATATGGGAATTATGTTACCTACTTCATAGCTCTTTAGTGAGGATTGAATGAGATATGATTATGTGAAACATCTCCCACTGTATATAGTAAACACTCGTTATGCATAGTGCCGATGATGTTGACAGTTACCAAAAGCAAAGGCTAAATTGCCCTTGACTATGAGCCCAACAGTATCTGAGCACTTTTAATTTTTTCTCATATAATATGTGTAACAATTCTGTAAATAAAGTGTTAAGTTCTTGAGTTTCAGTTTCCTCAGGAATAAAATGAGGTTAAGTAATTTGTTCAGGATCACGTAGGAAGTAGGAGGCAAAGATGGGGTTCCAAATGTTGTTTGTTTACTGCAAACACTATATTCCCTATACTCTCTAGCAGCTGCTATTCAGCTCCTGGTCAGGCTAGAAAAGAGATGTAAATCATTAACGATATAATCATACCGTATTTCAAATACCTTATACCTTATTTATCTACCTCATTCAAATAGATAAAGCATAAAATGTAAGTTTCTTATCTTAGGGTCATGGGTTATAATTTCTTTAAACTTTCTCTTCCATTGAAGCTAAAGAGGTACATGCTTCCTCTCTGAATGAAGAATTAGTTAATTCATTAAACAGAAGATAAGAAAAAGTATCAGGTGACACATTTAAGGGCATTGGCTTGATTTTTGGAAAGTGAGGTTGTGTCTCATTATTGAGGTGGTTGGAATTCCATAGGATGATATTCATCCATCCATCATTAATCAAATTAGAATATTGGAGAGTAGCCATGGCAGTTAACTAAATTCAAATCTCGTAGCATTGTCAGTGCGGTTAACCAACTATTAATTTGTAACATGGCTATGATTATTTGATATCTGCTTTAGCAATACTTTCATTTTTAATGGAAAAAAATGAGTATTTGAAGGTTTTAGAGCCTGAATATAATCAATTGTCAAAAAGAAAAGTTTGATGTATCAAATCCAGGTCTGTTTCTTCATATTCAAAAGTCAAACACTTTTCCCTTCTTGGCTTGCTTATAAATATTCAGTACCACAGAAACACAAATAAATAATTGGCTATCTCCAATGGGGTCTGTGTAATTTACAAGAGATCAAAAGATTATTACATACCTTCAGAGTCAAACTGTATTGCATTTATTAAGAATGAAAAATCATCACATAGGTCAAGTCAGCAAGTATTCATGGACCAGATTTCTGTGTGTGTGTGTCTGTATGTATATATAACTTTTAAATTTAAAGACTTAAGGATTAAGGATTACATATTAAGTTCTCTGCTATTGGAATTGACCTGGAAAGATTAGAAGATTATTATCTGTTTACACTGATGAAAATATTTGTGAAAATGACAGTATTAAAATGACTTGGGCTTAGCTTATCCAAAAAGATCCCAAAGTCAATTTTTAATAAAAAATAAAGTTCATGGAAGATATGATTCTCCATCTTTAAGATTATCCCTTTTATCATTGTTAAGGACGCCCTCTCAAAAATTGATTTGGTTCTGGCCTTTTGCTGGGTTTTTGATGTTCATCTTTAATATATAGCCAGTCAAACAAGTAATAGCACAAAAATGGGTTGTGGTCTACCCAAGATAAACAAAGAGATAAATCTTTGGTGCATACAGAATTTTTTCTTTTGTATAATTGACTTTATCAATAAAATAAAGCTTTCTTCATCAAGGAAACCTCTTTCGATTATTCCGAGATGGTTTTTATCAAGCTAACCTCCAGCAAATGGTGTTTGGAATAATAATTTATACCTTTTTTAATCAGTTAAGCACTTGCTATTCTTCCTTATTGAGTGATCAGATTCCATAATCACCATGTTGAAAACACCCTAATTAAGAGAAGTTGAAACAGACACACATGCTTTCAAGAAGAAAGTTGAGTTGCACGTTAAAATGAAATACCCTCAATGCTGATGTTATTTTTTCCTTCCCATAGGGAACCACAGTCAGATATCACGAGTGCCCGTTGCTATTAAAGTGCTGGATGTCAATGACAACGCCCCTGAATTCGCATCCGAATATGAGGCATTTTTATGTGAAAATGGAAAACCCGGCCAAGTAAATATCTCCATGTTGCTAATGCTGAATATGTTTGTATACAACAGTCTCATATTTGATTAACCTGCATTCGAGTGTGCACTTGCATCATTTATGATCTGCAAAGTCACAGGCAAGAAACATCCAAATGGGAACAGAGAGGGAGTATTTGTCTTTCTGAGATGTTAATTCTCTTCCTACTTATGACCAAATTGGCTCCTGAAGTGTAACAACCTGTTGTGCTGTCAAGCCAGAGCCAAATAACTATCTTAAAATATCTCCGGATATAGAAGATAGCAGGGGAGGTCTTAGAGTGATGGGGCCAAAATTTTGACCTTCAATTGACAGGAAGCAAGAGAAAAGCTCACGGACAGGGCATGTTTGTTTCATATCAAACACAGGAATAACACGTAATAGTGGAACCCAGGAAGACCAGTTGTAGGAAGTGAATTTGGAAATCTGTAAAACTTAGCTATATTTAGATAAACATAAGATGACCAAGATGTTTTAGACATGCAAGTAAAGCATCAGATAATTGTGTATTAGTGGAACTTTTTTTTTACCTGTCTTATAGCATAGAGATAACGAATTCAGACAGAAAAAGAGAGAGAGAGAGGAATTAAGGGGAAGGAAGGAAGGAAGAGGAAGAGGGAGAAAGGGTAAGGAGGAGGGAGGGAGTTAAAAGCAAAAAGAACAGAAACAAAAACACTTGCTATACTCTGAATGTCAAAATGGAAATAGTCTATGTAAAGTTCTAAAAAACACAAATGTAATAGATTTATTTTAACAAGGTGCCAAAGTACTGTATGTTTAAGAAATTTATCGTTTTTCAACTTCCTAATTTATTTCTGGATGGTGACATTTTAATTTAAATAAACAGCAGCTGACAGCATGACACTGGAGTTGTTAATCCAACTATTCTTGTGCCTCATGTGGGTGTTAGGAATTAAAGTTACTATTTGCCAAGCAGCTTACCTGACAAGAGTCAGATTTTTTCCACCTAAAGAAAGGAATAGCACTGTAGCTCTATATTTTTATTTAATTATTAAAAAAGATCAATGTGTTACCTACCCTCCTATAAAACAGTGGACGTTTTCCTCTACGCACTCTCATATATGTGAAGGATTAGTGTTGTTTCCATCTACCAAAATAAGACACACACACGGAGTAAAGCTAAAATCCTAATAATAAAGCTGATTAATTTCAAACACTTAGACAGCATAAATGTTGTTATAATCAAAACATTCACCTCTAGTGGTGATACACTCTTTTTTTAAAACAATATTCTAACATTAGTTTAAGTGTTTCTTAATTTCGTCATGTAGAGTTGCCTTCTATCAATCATATCTTTTGAGCATTTTCATTTGTGATCTTTTAAGTATGGAGTGTATATAAATATATATATATATATATATATTTGGAAGTAAATATTATTTAGCTAAGTTGGTGGATTGAGTTGGTGGAGAGTTTGATCAAAATATATGCAAGTCAGTTTCAAGGATATGGTTGTGTGGGCCAGACCATTGTTGGGGTAATGTAGCCAATCACATAAAGCCAGATGTTTTTGATTATACAGAATCTGTCAAATGCTTTAGAATTTAAATAAAACTCCATTGTTCATGCAGAACTCATCACACAAGTTCAGAGAGTCAATGGCATTGATATTTCAAAAATTTCTCATTGGCTTCACTCGTGATATTGACGTGCATGCCTTTGGACCTCCAGAAATCTAGAGGTTTACCCTGTGGATTTTGACTGTTTCCAAGATTTTAATGATTCTTCCACAGTTCTTATCCTCAGAAAATAATGCATTGTTTCATCACCATTCCTATGCAAGATCAAAATAAAAAAGTGGATTCTTTGTTTTATGATTTTTGCAAATCAAAATGAATGACTCACTCTGTGAAGAAATGTTTATGTTGTGTGTGTGTCCACTGCACTATCTTATCCTCAAATGAATCTGTGTAGGCATGTTTATTAGAGTTTATTTTTACATGACGAGATCAGATCTTTGGCTATTCAGCATAATTTTTTGGGCATAGGGCTGCCTGGTTTATACACATGCTATTGTTCACACAACTCCTGAATTCCTTGAATCCTTTGTGCTAGTCAGAACTCATGTTTGATTTATTACATCATTCCTAGTTCACTTTTAATGTGTATCTCATAAGTATCTCATTTTTATATTTAACGTTTTCCAAAATTCATATTTGTTATCCACGCTAATGTTTACTTATGTAAGTTCAACATAGATACACTTTCAATCATCTCTTAAAATACCACACACACCACTGACTCTCTTTGAAATTAGAATATTCATTATCAAGTGATCACATACTCATGAAAACAAATGTCAGAAACTGAATTAGCACTAAATGCATAGTTATCTCAATATTTTTCAACAATTAATATCTGCTTTACAACAGCCCCAGAGAAAGGAGTGCAGGTGACTTTGAAGTGTCTGGTTTGCCTGGAAAGTATGGATTTAAGGCTAAACTTGAAGGAGATCAGTTTCCTGAAAGATGGTGCAGCTGAAGATCATTAGCAATAATCAAGGGCAAGCCATTAAAAAAACCCAATCTGTAAAAACTTGGATTGCAAGAGCCTCTGTAAAGAGGTTTTTAAAGCAAAATGAAAACCAATATCAACAAAATGAAAACCAATATCAACATGAACATAGAGAATTCTACCGTGCTTGACTCTTTTCCACTGACTTGGACTTATTTAAACAAAGAATCAAAAAAAGAAAAAAGGAATGAGGCCACTTCCTCTTCTCGGGGCATTTGTGTCCAGCTCATAATACATCTGTGCTAGAATTGGCATAGTTTCACTTTGAAAGCAGAATTGGAAATCATACCTGCTCGAACCACCTTCTCATGATTCTGAAGTGAAAGATGACATTTTCTTGAATTTGTTCCCTTACGAGAGTAACAACCACCCATGACACAGTCTATATTATACAAAATCAACATGAATCCCTTCTGATTAGAATGCTTTTAAATAATCCCTCCATTGCATAATTAAATGTTAATATGGTATTTTCTGATTGCTAGTTACTTCTATTTTTAAAAAGAATTTTCCAATAGAGGTAATTTATCTTAAGTCAAAAGATATAAGATGATATATATCTTTAGTCTCTAATTCAATGATGGTGTGATAGAGTCATCTACAGATTACTCAGCCTTCAATTTAACAGGATGAATAAAAAGATTCTCTTCACTTACTCCTCTCTAATGTCCAAGGCAGAAATGAGAGTGTGGGCTGAGGATTTCAAAATCGGAAAGTAAGATATATGACTGACAGTTCATGTGTCTAATAAGATGGTAGGTTTTGATCAGTCAGTAAATATTTATTGAACACAAACTATGCACCAGGTCTTGGCTACATACTGGGGGTTTAGTGGCAAACAATGTCCTAAACATCAGTCTTTTTCCCTCATAGTGTTTTCTCTCTGGCAAACACGTAATAAAATTGAAATGATAGAATTGCAAGAAAATACCTCAAATCATCTGGGCAGAAAGGAGGCTGAAGAGATGAAGGGAAATGGAGCTATCTTAATGAAAAGACCTGGTAATATAGGACATGTTCCACCAGAAACAGCTATCAAGTGCTGCAAAGGAGTTAGCTGGGGATAAACCAGGTTCTCTCTGAAGAGAATGGTAATCTGGCTGGATGGGAGGGGGAACCGGTAACGGATATGGAGAAACCACTGTCTTCCTTCATTATGCTTGATAACAACACACTCAGACGCAAATATGAAAGAGAAAGAGAACGTCAGTGACCAGTGTTGGCCAGAAGGCCTTCCAGAACTCCATTCCACATCTTATCTCTGAATAGGTTCTTTCGAGGATTTTATTTCAGATGCTAACCTCTTGCTTACCATCCATACAGAATGAGGGTAATTTGTTCCAGATGATTTACTGACGCAGAGACTGAACTGAAAATACTTCTATTTCTGGGTGTGAGTCAACGTCCTCTTGTTTAGTCTCAGAGAATGTTTATTGTTTGAGACTTAGGCAACAGACTCCTTCAGCTCTTTTTCCTTCAGGAAGGAGCTTCCCATATGTTACTATAAATAAATCTAGAGCAGTATAATTTAAGCTTCATCACCATCTATAGAAGTTAAGATGTGCTATTTGGCATTAAGCTAATTATGTCTGGGTTAAAACAATATTTATCTTTACCTCTTTTGATCTCTTCTTTCTCTGACCAATACTAAAGCAATTTAAGCTTGCTTATCGGGGGAATATCACAGGTCAAAAGAAAAAAATAGAATAACCTATATATCCAGATATGTGTCCAGCCAATGCATGGCATGTAATGGATATTCACAAAATTTTGGAATCGTGGTTCTAATTTATTTAATTCAGCAGTGACAAATATTTCAATAATTAGTTTCTCAGACATTACCATGGAAACACCTGTTTTACTCACAGACACACAGGGAACAAGCTAACCTCTTCAAATGAAAAATCGTTCATTTATTTGTTGAACAATATTTATGTGCATCTACAAGATGCTAACTATTGTAATATGACCAGGGGAAACAGTGTGAAAAGGACAAAAAAGTGTTTTCTCTAATGGAACTTAACGAGGAAGACAGATTATTAAAAAAAAAGTAGAATGAATAAATAATAGAATTTAAATTTTGAAAACTGTGTTGAAGAAATATTAATGCAACTTGACAGAGGGGAGCAAAGAAAAAGCAGAGATGTACTTAACATAGTGTTGTCAGAGAAAATTACTTTTTAAATGGGTATCATTTGAGCTGAAACTGAAAAAAAAAATGAAAAAGGGCTAGGCATATAAGAAATAGAAGCAAGAACCTTCTAGCCCACAGGATAAGCTTGTGCAAAGACCTTGAAGGGAGAAAGACCTTGGTTTGTTTGAAGAATTGAAGACATCTTTGGATGAGCATAATAGGTGTAATAAGCAAGTATAATAATAAGAATGTAATAAGCAAAAATGAACTTGGACAAAAGAGTTTATGTTTGTATAAAATCTACACACACACACACACA